AATGAAGAGGATATATGGAATGTATAAGGAATAGTTCGTGAAATGTACCACAAAAAACTGACATTAATAATGTGCAAAAAAAAGTGTCCGTTTATTTAAATTTTAACAAAAAAAATTTGTTTTTTGGTCGCTTTGTAATATGTTGATGTTATACTCTGATTAACTTACAGTATGTGAAAGTAACAACCGTAAATGGAATTAATATACGATGAGTCATAAGTGAATTTAAAAAAGAGATGGTGGCGAGATTTGAAAATATTGTCGGAATAAATTACTTTATTTTGATAATGTCTGTGATAATATATTTATATTAATTTTTATTGGTAATGGAAACTTTCTTTTATCTTTTAAGAAGTAATAAATGAAATTTGGATAGAACAGCATGCGTTTCGACATTCAGTTTAATTAGGTTTGAAATAGTAAAAACCAACTTTAAGGACTGTCCATGGAAAGATGTTATTTTACAAAACTCGCATCTGTCAAGACAACGCATTATTAATAGTTTATCACATGCTATAATGTTTGTAATGATGTTAATAAGAGTGTCCCCGCATGTCATGTAAGTTATTGGTATACTGACACACTTGCTTGTCAGCCGACCTTCGAGACCTCAGGCGAATATGTTCACCATTCATTCATTGCTTATTATATGGTAATTGATCATTTGAGCAGCCGTGACAGACTCCTAATAGGGAAGATTTTAAAAGGCTTGATGTGCGGTGAGGTGAATATATTGTTGAGATTCTGAAGGGAGAAGCCGGTGGATATTTTATTCTATTGTCTCAGTGTGCTTTTCTGGTGTTGAATTAGAAATGGATTATCATATAACTGGAATAAAGTATTATTGTATTTGAGATATATGATTGTCCGATTCATCATTACGAATTTGGGATTTTAAGAATTGATCAGCTTGAATGCTTGAGGACAACAAGGATTTGTTTTTATGAGTTTTACAAGTTTCTTTAAATTGATTTGAAGCTGTTATCAGATGTTGAAGTGATTGACGCTGTTTTACAGAAATAGACTTATTGGTTTGATTTTTTTTTTCTCCTTTATTGTGTTGAACTTGGTTTATATGTTAAATTCCCTGGTAAATGATATCAAAGCGTTAATTTTAAGACCAGGGATTTATTTAAAAATTATTCTGCCAAATAAAAAATCGATGGCTTTTTAAAAAAATTTAAGAGTAATTATTGAGGGAAAATTGTGGCAAAGTTTTTGGTTTGTAAAAAGGTTCCTTAAATTAATGTTTTTCTACATTGAAATTTCTAAAAGCTAATAAATAATAGACCAGTCTCCAATTCACTGGGTGTTTGTGAGATGATAATACCTTTATTCCATTAGGGAATGGAAAAATTTGTTGGTAAAAAGAACATTTTACTTACTTATTCAAGACAGTGGCCTTGTGGATCTTATTGGTTGGGCAGCGAAAGTTGCGCTGAATATCTAATCAAAATAATCAATAGACGATCATCGTCATGTCTGAAAGTGCTGAAATTGCATCCATGGCAAAATTAATCATGCGGATATATTGGATTATAAAGTAATGGTTCGATTACCTTAAGATGGGCGACTAGCAAATTATGTATCTATAGGGATCTGCCTCATTAATGAAGTCCCCATATTGGTACCGTAGTAATTATAGATTTTCTTATTGACAAATGCATTAATTATTCACTCAGAGGTTACACAGTGTTATGCATGACTATTAAAATCCTTCGAGAGTTCATGTTAATAATGAATGTCCTTATATGTTCATTTATTTGATTTGCTTTTCCTGCACATTTTAAATTATATAACTAAGTTGAACCCGTTTTTATGAAACAGAGGTGGAACATGATTGTATGGATAAATTATTAAATATTTAACCAGAAAAGAGAGATCCAAATAGAACATTAAAAAATATCAACGAATATGATGACTTGACTAATAAGCTAAGAATATGATGAATATCACGGACTCATTTTAATTGACTCTGTTTATGAGAGATAATGGAAAAAGTGCAACATGACTTTCAGGCCCCTTAGTTAGTACTGGCTTAAGTGGTATTCAAGTCTCCACAAGGATCCTTTAGTTTGAAATAAGGTAAATTTAATTTGTCTTGAGATTAAGACACTCGTGTTGCGCAATTTAACACTCATTCATATTTACATTATTTAGTAGATACATGTATAATTGTTACAATAAGGTCAGGGTCACCAATGACTACATGACTGTACAAGGTATTGCTTTCCTGGCCTGGTAGTAAGGAGGTTGAATTTATGAAATTTTCCTCAGGTATTTTATAAATCTACAACATGTCACATATAGCAACAGACCTGCTGTTTGACATGATTACTCATGAAAATTGATTTTTTAGACTGGTCGTAAATCATGTTTTCGTACCCTTTTCAAAAAACCAAATTAAGATAGATTTGATATATTTGGTACACATCACAGTTATGGCAATCAATCTTTCATTACATTTGATTTATCCAGCTGCTAAAAAAAATGTATAAAAATAGTTTAATAATTAATGTTACACCACCATGTATGTATGGAGTTCAATCATTGTCTTTGAATTATATTTAGAGGAATGAATGCCAATTACAGTTTAGAAGTTCTGTAACTGCTTGCAGGTCAATTTAATAATTTTGATATTGACATTCCTTAAACTGGTTAGACATGGAGTGTTCCTATGTCCAAGTTTAGTAGACAAGTAAAAATTAACAATTTAACATTGTATTTAATGCTAATTACCATATTGATATAAGTAAATGCTTTGGGGGCATAGCAAAATTTGATTGAGATGAATTATTACATAATGATTAAAGACTAAAGAATTTTTCACAGAACAAATTTTTCAAGCGTTTGTGGAGAGCAGTCTCTAAAGCCTATTATGAGCCGCGTCCCGACAAAACCAACATAATGCGTCCGCGCAGTCTGATCGGGATCCATGCTGTTAGCTATCAGTTTCTCTACTTGTAATAGGGTTGTAATAGGGTTGGTTAGCGAACAGCATGAATCCTGATCAGACTGCGCGGATGCTGGTCGCAAATGCACTATGTTGGTTTTGTCGTGATGCGGCTCATAATATATGTTGGCTATAATAATGGGTTGTTTATTAGGATCAATATGGCATTTTTCATGCACTTTATTGCAGTGTTTTACATGACAATTACTGATATGTGTAAGTGCCTATTTAGTCAGTTATTTTTACCAGTAAATTAATTGGCTGATGTCAAGACCCCACCCCTGTTGATAAGATATCATATTTAATGCAATTATTATATTATGCATGTTTTTGGTGGAGTGAGTCACAGTGGCATAGCCTGACAAATACAAATAGAAATCTGCATGAAGCAATTTCTTATTGGTTGGTTTAGTAGTTTATATGACTCTGACTTTTGTGTGGAAGAAAATAATGTTTGAGTAAAAGTCATAGATCAGTATATACACAACAGCTTGCCCCTGACGTGGTTTGAACCCACGTGGCTAGCTTTCCTTAGATCAAGTTTTGGTACATATTAAAAGATGTATCCACCAGTCCACCAGATTCTTCTATCTGACTAATGCAGCCAATGCTGTTACACCAAGGTGCTTTACCGAGCCAGACAAGATTTAGTACTTTTTACTCACCTCAACACTGATACAAACTGTATCATTTACTAACATTGAAAAAGAAAATAGATGCCAATATAAAAATGTGATGCCAAATAGTAAATAATGTGATCAGAAGTGTTCAGTTTATTTTGTCTTGATGTAAATCATCTGTTTCGGTTTTTTTTCTGTAACAGTATGTGAGATTCGCACTTCAGAGGGAGTCGGTGGTTTTATTTAGTAATTCTTCACATGGTTTGTCTCTCGGAAAGTAATTATACAGACATGAAGTAACAGGGAGAATATAAACAATGCCTGCCTTTTGTTCTTTTTTGCATTTTTTTGCTTATCTTTAGGAATTCTGTAAGAACTCCCACTCTTAGATAATTAGGAATAATTATTGAGGTGAAAATAATGATTATCATGAAAGTCAAACTTGTCTGTGAAGATAAGAAGCTATTTATACTTATGAAAGTTTTTTTTGGTTAGCTAGAAGTTGGTGTTTTTTTGTCCCTTAGAGTATTGGTTCAGATTTTATAGCCTTGGACTTGTACTTGCCACAAGCTGTGGTCTTCTGAGTTAGTTATGAATCAACTTTTTAATCAGGTTGATTGCTGCTTATTTTTGGAATTTTCATTTCATTTCTACTCAGTGGCAATTTTTGCCTGAAATAATACACTGAGGGGCACTTGAGTTCTTCCTCCAACAGTAAAGCTGGAAAATCATCATATAACCTTTTTATTATGTTGGCGCAACATAAACCTCAAAAAAAATAATTAAAAAATAACAGCCGCTATTAACAACTTAAACAAGAGACATCTAGATTGGTGATCAGGTTGAAGCAACTTGAAAAGGAATCTTAACATGCTTGTCTGGCAACCCATATAATGAGTGGCCGTTGTGAAAAGGCCTGGTCAAGGTTGAGCTGTTGGTTGAATTTGTAAGGGACTTTGGGCAGTCAGGATAATTTAGTTGATTGGATCAGCAGTGAGAAATCGACTTTACTTCAGAGAATAACATTATGTTTGGAGGGATTATGCTGGGGGTGACAGTATTATATTACTTTTTTTGGTGCAATTTAAATTTTAAGTCAACTGTATAAATTACTGAAGAAATTTTTTTTAAACAAAACAAAGGTTATTAAATCTACCTTTACACACATGATCTGATATCTTGACTTTCCCATGGTTGGCATTGTCATTATTCTGTAGGCAATGTTTTTGTTTTGGCTATTTTTTGCAATTTAATACATTTTGGCCATTTCTGTTTTATATTTAACTAAACAATAACCCTTTGTTTTAAAGTATAGATAATGGAATAAATGCATTTAATGTAAGATTGTCACCCCAAGAGAGATTTGTAAGAAAATAAAGTAAACAAACATTTCAGTTTTGAAACCCTAGGTGGACTGCATCCAATAGGGTTGTCTCTGAAGTGGGTGGTGGTTAATAATTGAATTATTAGTGCTATAATTTTATTCATGTTCACATACTGCTAAAGCGTTGCTCATGCACACGTTACAATTCTGTATAATAATATGTTTTATAAACACAGAATAATATATACACAGAGGAAATAATAGTTTTCATTTTCTGAATACACAAGTGTTTTGTGACTTTTGGATGGTAGTTTGTGGTATATTTTATTTCCATATATTTATTCTCATTCAAAGGACAGTTGTCATGGTGGATATTTAAAAAATGGAATATTACATTATTACAATGCAGGAAATAAGTTTTATTCAGCAGAAATTTCTTTAAAAATTAAAATGAATAGTGTAAAATGATTCTAAAATATAACTGCTTGTTTAAGGAATAGTCTGTTTAAAAGAGATCAGAAACTATTACATTTGTTTGTTTTAACCTAGGAATTTTATGTGGGTGGAGAAGTTGTATGCTCTACCAAGGAGGATCAATTTGTTGACATGCATTATTTTGTTTGAAGTGTTTTGTTTGTTTTCCGTTTGATGTACACAGGCTGTTAGAAGCTGCAAGGCACAGGACACAGAGGATTTTAATATTGACTAAAATTTTATTGACAGGTTGTTAAGCGTCACAGTTTTCCTTGTCAGCCGTATCCATGGATGTTCTTTGTGTGCAATGTGCGTTAATTTACCTCACTAGGACATTGATTTAAGCATCTGGATCACTCAGATTGTCTCTTAAATTTTGATCAGGTCTTCTGAGACTCTTGGTATTTTAATAGTTCTTTTTGATAATTTAGTGTTGTTATTGTTCTTGTTTATTTAAGTCAGCTTCACTAAGTGTACAGATTTTTGATCATTTGTTGAGATGTTTTGATAACACTGGATTAGAAAAAAAAAAAATAAAATTAGAAAACCATAATTCTTCTGTACACTTAAATGCTTGGTGTCCTTTGCTCTTATTTTACATGTCTCCAGTGATCATCTGGGTCAATTAGAGCTGGGTCTCTCAAAGTGATCGAAGTTGCATTGATTTAAATTGAACTTTTCAGTTTGTGACTAACTTGAAATCATTGTCTTAAATTTGTATGACAATATTTCATATACAAATTTGATTTCTTTTTGTGTCGCCTCTACGGATTAGTCGCGACATATAGGGATCACTACTCCGTCATCTGTCTGTCCGTCTGTCTGTCCGCACTCACAGGATAGTAATTATGTGGCTAGAGGGACAATAGGTAACTGTTCTTTCTCTTTGATGTCATTCATTCCATAATGCTTTTATGTGGCTATTTTCTTTTGTGTGGCTAAAAAGAACAATAGAGAGAACAAAAGAGTAGCCACGTTATTACTATCCTGTTAGAACTTCCGTCTGTCTGTCCGTCACAAAACTTGTCCGGACTACTCCTTATAAACTACTGGTGCAATTTCATCCAAACTTTACAGGAATGATCAATACCAAGTCTAGTTGTGCATATTGTAAGCATTTTCCGGTTCAATGATTTTTGTCAGAGTTATGGCTCTTTAATAATTTTTATTTTAAAGTTTGTCCGGACTACTTCTCTTATACCACTAATGCAATTTCAATGAAACTTTACAGGATTGATCTGTAGCTCAAGTCCTTGCGCATATTGCACAGATTTTTCGGTTGAATGATTTTTGGCCGAGTTATGGCCCTTTGATAAAAAGGTGTTTTTTTCTGTGTGTTGCCAGATACACAAAAGCTTGTCCGGACTACTCCTCATAAACTACTGGTGCAATTTTATCCAAACTTTACAGGAATGATCAGTACCAAGTCTAGTTGTGCACTGTCCGTCTGTCACAAAACTTGTCCCAACATGAAATTGGCCATCATGAGGCGACACATGTGATCACTGATCTCTTGTTTATTCTTTAAACATTCATGAATCCATGTCAATATTCAGATCATGCCATTGACGTATTATATAAAAAAAACAAAAACGATTTGAATGAAAAGTGATCGAAATTGCTGTAGTTTCATTTTTCAGTTGTTAATGACGGGAAAGGTAATACCAGAAATGTTTTGCAGAAAAAATTGTAACTGGATGCCGTCCTTTGTTAGTTCAGACAGAGCTTTAAAACAGTTCTGCAACATCGGTGCAATTTTAAACGGCTTATTATGTATATAGCATTTGTGGAAGATATAGCACTTGTACAAAATAATACAAATTTAAAAGGATTTCCATTTATAGCATCGCTAAAAGCTTTCTGTTATTATACCATGCTGTGATTATTGTTGTCATTTAAAAAATCGAATAGCAAACAATTGAAAAACATTTATAGATTGTTTAAAGATTTTTATAGCCAGATTCTTTAAGGATTTTCTAGCCTGTGTTTTAAGTCAAATATTAGAAAAATATTAAGTGTTTGTACTGTAGTTATATATTTACTGTAGTTAAATTGTAACTAAACAGGGGTTATAAGTAATATATTTACTGGAGTTAAATCGTAACTGAACAGGAGTTAGAAATATATTTACTTGAGTTAAATCATAACGGAACGAGGGTAAATGTGCGCTGAAAATGTGAATATTTTGAAGCTTATGGTTAATTAATAGTCGAGAAATTCGATTTTTTTAACGATGGTTTTTTAAGTGACAGCAGACTTATAGCTGTACTGGGTGAAACTTTCTTTGTGTCAAACTTTAATGACATTTTTTTCTTTCTTACATTTTAGGAAAGTATTACAGCTTCAAATTAATGAAATTTTAGAGATTTGTATTCATTTACAAAATCCAATATGTGAAGTTTTACAGCAAAAACCATCAGATTTAATAGTCAATCGAATGCATGCACGCAATAAAGTTAAACTGTCACCTGGTTTCGACCGTTAGAGATATTAACTTACTTAACAAGATATTTCGTAGCACTCCTCGGTCGTCCGAGGCGAAAATTTTAATGATTTAATTCAGTGAAATTTTTAAGGAATTTATCACACGTATTGTGGCTATTGAATAGATATTAAAATTCCAGTGTATGATAAGTAATACAAATATTGTTCATCTCGACAATTAAACTCGACCAGGTATTTCGATAGTCGTGTTAGGGAGTCAATGTGAATGTTTGCAAAAATGCAAAATAGGAGATAAAAATGTGGTAAAATTTTGATTGCCGTGTTATAGGTTTATAAAATATAAGTTTATTTACATTTGTGGCAGTGTCATTTTATGAATGAGGAAGACTTTTTGTGACTTTTTTTTGTGAAAAAATGTGAAAAATTTGTGATTGAAAGGAGATTTCTTTACATACATTTATTGCAAGGAATTATAAAAAAAAATGTGAAATTGTGTTGAGAGAAATTTTGTTGAATTTTGCAATAAATTTGATTGATGGAGAATTATAAAAAATTTCAAGGGAATTCAGGATTTTTCTTATAAAATTATACAAATATATACTTGTTAATTATATGGATTAAAAATAAAGAAATTAATTTTGATTGGTACGGTATGAGATTTATATAGTAAGTTTGATTATTCAAATTGGTTTGATATAACTTAATAAAACTTCTTGTGCATCATTAACTATTCCATTTACTCGTTCTGGCCTTTAGTTATTGTGGCCATTTAAATTTAGTATCAATAATGGTTTACCAATTGTTACCTGAGTATAATAATCAGGCAAAATGTAGCATTTTGATATTAAATTTCTTTAATTTATCAATGGTCAATGGACATTATAAATAAAACCTATTTTACAATTATTATTAAATCATTAATTAAGACATGTGCTATGATCCACAATCAAGGTTAATAAAGCATTGTTTTATCTTGAGACCTGGCATGTTTGCTATCAATGACAATCTTGGATACAGGTCACCTAACTTATTGTGTTCTCATTGATTTCCATTTAATCAAGGTGTATATGGAATTAGGGTAACCTTAGTTTAAACAACAAAATTAAATGGCTTTGATAACGGATTCATTTTGTGTTGTGATGTATTCAGAAGACAATTGTGCTGTATCTATCTTAAATGGACTTGTCCATCTGTCAATCTGGGCAAATCCATTCATCATTTTTAGGGAACATTTTGAAGTATGTTTTATTGACTCACTGACCAACAGTTCAGACCATGATCAGATGAAACAGATGTGCTGTGCCGGCTGATCTTGGTCTGTACTGGTGGCAAGGGTATATTAACATCTGGCTGCCAGCAGGCTAAGAGTTCAATAGCAATACCCATTCAATTTATTACTAGATTTGACTTAAATTTGAATGTGTCTTGGAAATTATGGGAAAGTGGTGTATGTGTAATCAAGCAAGTATTGCTTGAAAAAATGTTGATACAAATTCATTAAGTCTACACAATTTATTCTGATTTTAAAACGAGCATAATAATTGCGGTCAAAAGGTTTTTTGCCATTAGAATTTGGCCTTTCACTATAACACTTTCACATGTTGGGAAAATGTTTTATAGCATTATTTTTATTCATAATCTTGGCATGAATCTTCTAATTTCTACACAGTTTAATAGTTTTTTGTATCCTTTGCCTAGATGTTCACTGTTTGCCGTGGAATTATTGAAGAAGATAGGTAATGAAAGATTGATTGATTATCTTACCTAGATATATTTTACAGCTGTAAGCAACTTCATAAGCATCTTCATGTGCTTCTTAACAACCTACTGGCTTACTTTTACTTTAAGCAAGTACAAGAAGCATCAGCTTTGGTTAAAGGGGACAAGTAGCCTGGTGGTTAAGATGTTTGCTAATTGACTCTGGTTTTGTGGGTTCAAATCTGAACCTAGTTCACAACCATGATTCCTTTTATGACACTAAGGATTGGTTTGTGCCTGGAAGAACTTGGAGAGTGGTTTGAACTTAAAGCCTTTATTACATTCTAGCTAAAATAAATGGTTAAGCTGAATTAATTGAGCTTTGTCATTCTTCTTAAGTGAAGAGGGTCAAGATTTTCATGGTAAATTGCAAATAGAGCAGCAATAAAATTTTTTGATAATTTAAAGAAAATTGCAAATCAAATTGTTTATGTAAGCAGTTTAAAGAATCCCAAACAAGGCATGGGGATGATAGGTAGGAATACGGACTGGCGGAACAAGAAGCCAAGGGTCCAGCCAAAACAACATTGGCCAATGGGGTGCTACTTAAGATTTAGGGTGATATGCCAATTTATGGTAATAAAGCAAGTGGTTAAGGAAATTTCAACATCTAATATAACTGTATGGAACTTATGGAGTTCCATTTAAGGTGATGAAAGTGGCTTTAGAATGCCATTATCAGTTTATGAATGTGGCTTAATGAGTGCCACTGAAAGTGCATGCAAGTGGTATAGGGCATATTGTGTTTGGTGTAATTTGCAGTTATGGTTTAGGGAATGCCAATTATGATGTATAAGCATTAATATCTGAATTTAGATCGAAAACAATTAAGTAATGGATTCCAGTTACTAACCAGCATGAGTGAAAGTGAAATATGTATCCTTGAATTTATTAAAACATATAGTTCAAGACCTAAGTTATAGCGCAAGACTTGTTACAGTTCAAGACCTAAGTTGTCTGTCCTGGTCATGTTTTATAAAAATTAGACGGCTCTGATAATTTACATATAGAAGGACATTGACTATTTACATGCAAATTTTGGGGCTTTGCAGGACAATTTTGTTTAAAGATTTACAATTGAATTTTGAATTGAGAGAATTGAACACACCAACATTAGGATATTAGAAATTTAGTGTAAAAATGTTAATGGAATTTTATATGTTTTAGACGAAGGAATTTTACGGAGCTCTTTAGTCTTAGGGTGCACAGTAAAAGCTTTTTAGAAATTTTCTTTATAATTTTCTTTTGTCTGGGTTAGATGCTGAGTTCTCATTGAAATAACTGTGTGGTAATTTCACAGAATCAGCTCAGGTGAAAATATTTTTTTTATTGGTTAATTTCTCTCTCACTTTTGTTCTTTCGTTTTACCACTTGTTGATTTCTTAAATGTACTTGATAGGCAGTATTTTTTTATGTTTTCCTGAGTTCTTCAAAGGAATAATGGTTTTATGCAAATTGGATGCAAAAATGTGGATTTTTTTTCAGGATTTTTCGACAATAGCAGGTGTCTATTGGGAGTAAACTGTATAATTGTATGTTTATAAATTCTGGAAAGCAGGGAAAGAAGAGAGAGGAAAAAAATGTTGAAAGGTGGATGTATGTTTGTATTCATTTGTTAACATTGTAAGCATGTGTGCTGGTATATTAGTGCAAATCTTATAATAAAAAAAGGATTTGATAATTCAGGTGCAAGAACCAGTGTTTTCCCTCAACAATAATTGGTGTCAGATTTGACTGCACCAGATATCCTGTTTGTTTTATGCCGAAGCTAAATATATAAGGAAGATGGTGCAGTTGGTCTATAACAGAACTTGTGGTATGAATGGATGAGATAATGTTGAGTAACAAGATTTTGGAAATATTTGGTATGAATGAATGAGATAATGTTGAGAAAAAAGATGGAAATATTTTGTTATCAGAAAAAGGAGAAGTATTTTCAGTAGGGAAAAAACTTACAGCTAACCCTATAGAATAAATTGATCAGTCAGCCTGTAACTGTAGATGAAAATTTGATCTCCTTCGGAAGGCCCAAGCTAAAATTTGTCTTGAAAGAGTTCTGATACATTGTCTCAATTTTAATAACTTTTTGTGTGGACTTTATTGTTAAATTTGATGGAAATGGGAAATAGGAATACGTAAGAAGGAACTTTGAACAGGCTTAAAAAATTGATTTACAAAAATTAAAAAACTGAAGAACGGAAATTTTATGATGAAGTTGTCTGTCTTAAGAGAATTTGTATACTGTTAACTTGGTTTGAACACTTGTTACTGTTAACAGGTGGCAGACAGAGGTTTTAATGTTCTCATGTATGGCTTGTATATACTTGTTTTACCAGTGACATATGTTTCTCACTGACAACATCATAAGGACCGATATTGTCATTTTACGTTCCTCCAGGGGCAGTTAAAAGAATGGCTCTTATGAGATTCATTATTGGACTAGCCATATAAAAATAGTTCTTGTACAGAAAACAAACTGCTGTTTAAGTGTTAGTAGCTAGCTGCTCAAAGGGAGGGTTGATTTATTTGGATGTTGTAAATGTTTTATTTTCTGTTCAGGAATGTTAGTAATTTGTTGGCTGAAAATGTCATTTGAGCTCATTTTCTATAATTTTCTGGATAATTGTTTCTATTTGCAGACTGAAATTGGGAATAAAGTGCAATCCAAGATTGTGCTATAAATAGATTTTTTTAGCATTGGGTCAAAGGTCATTGCTTTTAAGTTAAGAAAATTTTTTGTTGTTTTTTGCTAATGCTGGTTATTGGTTCTTGAAGTGGTGGGGAAATATAATTGAATGATTCAATAACTTGTTTTGACTCTCTATAGAATATGCAGTCTGTACAGGAAAAACAATCTATAAGTACTTAAGTGTTTGCGATTATGAAGTGAAAGACGGAAATTATTAATCAAAAAGTCATTGACTTTCGTAATTAGAGATGAAAAAATATATATGATATATATGATAAATATATCTACATAAAATTGACAGTCAGTTTCTCATCATGAAACAGGAGGAAAAATGTCATCGAAAAACTATTTGTGTAATGTCACGAAATAAAGAAATCGGAATAAAAAAGATCATTTAGTCATAATGAATGGTGTACATGTTAGTGATAAGGAAGAAAATGTATAAGCTGCTTTTTCTGAAGTGACTGGATGAAACTTTAGAAAATGGTTATTCAGTGCAAGTAGAAGATGTAGCTCGTTAATAATTCAAAAATATTCTGGATTAAAAAATGTCCGCTTCGGAAAAAATTCAGCGGAATAAGAAATCTGTGGGATTTGAAGATGGAACTAAGGTATCGCCTCGTGAGTCGAGAAGTAGGTCACGTGGAAAGATACGTGACCGTCGTGCAAAATCTATGGATTTACGAGGGAGTTTCAGTGGTGAAGCTGAACCGAGGAAAAGGGACCGTAGTTTAATAGGTCTTGTGAGGCAGGGCTCGAGGAAATCCGTAACAAGTCTCGTTAAGCTATTTGAAGCAGGGAAAAGCCTTTATGTAAGTACAACTTTCATTGAAAAATAAGTAGAAATACTGATTTGGTAAGTTTTTAAATGCAAAGCGATTTCATTTTCAGTTGGATATTTATAACATAATGTATAACAAAAATCTCTATGCAACTTGCTTAAATTGAATGCATAACATAGAGCAATAAAAGGTCCCCAACATTTTGAAGGGGTTGACCAGAAGGCCAGGAGGGTTTCTGTTATTGTGAATTGAATTCTTCCAAATTTTGAGCAAAGCTCTGCTAAAATTCAAAATCCAAAGGGTGATGTGTTCTGTTTCCAAAAAGCTGAAAAAATGCTTACCTCAGTGCATATTATAACATGTTCTTATTTTCTGCTTTTGACCCAAATGGTTGTTTTATTATTGACCTTTGGAATTGAGTAAGGCATAGTCAGTTTTGTTCTTTTCAGTCATATTATACATTGTTGTTTCAGTGACTGACTACATGACTTTTAATGCTGATTCAGAAATTGTATAATAGAAGTAGGTGACTGCAACAAAATTAGTAATTTATTTGGATGGTTATCCAGGAAAGCCAGTTTAGGTGGACGGACTGCTGAGGCATAACCTAAAATGTGTTGTAAAATCAGACAAACAAAACTTAAAGTGATCAGAGGACAAGATATTTATGGTTATGCACCAGTCATTTGGAACCTTAGCCACCAACCACTAATCCTGCCAGACCTGACCCTTTGCCTTCCCCTATCCTCGCCTTGCCTCGCCTCCCCTCACCTCCCCTCTCCCGTGTTAAAATGAGCCAATTTGTCTGTTTGCCATTTTTGGTAATTTGAAACATTTTAAAAGTTTGCAAAAACTGCTTTTGAAAAAAGAGAATTGATTATTTTTAATTGAGAATTTGGCATAATATTTGCAGTTGGGGACATGAAGAAGAAAAGAGTAGGTTGGGGTGGTGTTGCAAATTGATTAGAGCATAAATAATTCTTAAAATGTTTCCTTTTAATGACAGAAATTTTTTTTAATAAAAATTGGAAGAAATGTCATGATTTACTTGGTGCAACAGAGTTGGTTAACTTTTTTGATTTATAAGATTTTGTTTATGGTCATTAACTTCAGTATAAACAAATAGCCTTAGTATTTATCAATTTACTATCCAGCAATAGAGCTTTTTACAAGAAACAGCATAATAATTCAAAATGGTTTTTTTATCAGCTTGAAAAAAACTGATATCTTTTCAAAGAGATTTCCTAGAATATGTGTCTATATATGTGTTTATTTTTTGCTTCAATTTTTATCATTTGATATATAGTTTAGTAACATGATCTCCCAGACGTCTTCCCTTAAACTATTATGAGCTGTCAAGAATCCAAATAAAGAGAAAAGTCTGTCTAGTTGAAAATATGATAAATTGCTTGATAATGACCATACTGTGTTATAATTGTACACAATGGAAAACAATGGATTTCTTGCAAGGTTTACTATGAATTCAGACACTTCTGGGATTTCAGTGATGGATGCCTAATGTCAAAGTTATCAGCCATGAAATTTTAGCAAAGAATATTATAAATTAGAATGGGCATTTATTTCTTGAACATTAATGGTGCGTTCCTTTTTCAAAGGGAGGAAATGTATTCTTGTAAGCCTGTAAGGATGCTCTCCCATGAATTTATATCTCATTCAGTAATAAAATCAAAGGGCAAGCAATGTGTAGGAAATTGATATTTGTGTACATCAGTGTTGTCTCCCTTGGTAACTAATTTGTTTGAGAAAGAAAGCTACCACAGCTGCTGTCGCTAATATTTCCCATGGAACTCTGATCAGCTGTCAATATTTGCATGTTTTATTGTCTCTCCTGTACATATGGTCTTTTATCCATTAAAGACACGCATGGTTATTCATGGTTATGACCAGGTCTGTGCATAATAAAGTTTCTACTCATTTTCCCCCAATATATTCAGCTGAAACTAAAAGAAGTCATGACGTTTTACATATAGAGTTCAGCATGTCTTTAGAGATCAGTGGAAAGAAAAACTGCTGATAAAATCATGTTATGAAAAATGAGATGAAATTTTCTTATCAAAAATCTGCCAGGAGACTTTGAGGTGTATCTACATGGGGAGAAAATTAAAACATGAGGGATTCAAATTGAGTCATGCATGTGTGTTGTTTCTTTTTCTTTGTTTGAGTCATTATTAAAATCGTGGCATGGAAGTTTACTGGAAAATGGTCGTTTTCTTGAAGGAATACGGAAGCTTGACGAGGGTTTGTTAATTTTTGAATTGTTTTTATTTTCTAATTAAACTCTTGTTTTGTCATAGAGTTTAGTCCTTTGTTTATTTTTTTTGGGAAGTTGTTTATTAGAGACAAAGGAAAGGTTTTGTTGTTTTTGTCAATGGATGTGTAAAAAAGAAATGCTACATAGTATTCAATGGTTTATATAATCTTTATAAAGCTATGATCAGGAATAATAAAAAGAAATTCAAACCTTGTGTTCAGCTTTATTGTGTAAAGGTTGCTTTTTAGCTTGACTCCTTTGCAGCTATTTGTTGGCATTTTTGCACTGACATAGTAGGATTTGCCTTAAGTTTGACATTCTTGTTCATTTTACAATTTTATATACTATTGAAGGTATTTATTTGAATCTTCATAATCTGGTGGGGGGTGGGGGGTTTCAGACTTTTATTGAAGATCATTATTGGTCAATAATGAAGTAAAGGTGACTAAGGTAGTCTTCCCTCCCCCTAACATCCCCACCAGCATAAAAAAAAATAATATATATGTGAAAGAGTTAAGAAGCAATATTGTACATGATGGCAGCTAACATGCAAAATTTCATTTTGTTGCAAGAATATACAGGAAAGGAAGGACAAGTTAAAGTAGTTTGTCGTTTAGATTTCTATAAAAGGAAGTACATGTATTAAATACAGATCATCTTCCTTTATAAATTGATCTTTAATTTAGTATTAGTCAATTACAATCTAGTTTAATTGTGTACTTAATTCTTTTTATTTGAGAAATTTATTAAAGAACATGGAGTTTCAATTAAGGGATCATTTAAAAAGAGGAGATAGTTTAAAAATGGGGGCTAGCTTGAAAAACAGGGCTAGTTTCAAAAGAAGGGAAAGTTTGCGGAGGAGGGACAGTTTGACATTAAAAAGGCGGGCTAGTTTTTATGCACATGAAGAGACCATGGCCACTATTGAGGTAAGAAAATTCTGCATTTACTGTAAGAATATTCTGGGTTCGACGTAAGAATATTCTGGGTTCGTCCTGCTGAGTTTGTGTAAATTGGACTTGCCATGCTTTGAATTTGGAACAATCCATTTAATGTTTAACTCTTCTTAAATGTCCAGCTTTCATTTTCAAACTGTCCAGTATCAATTTTAGGGATGTCAAGATTGAAATTTGAGGTTGGTCGGTCAACAGTTATATGTGCATCTGGCCTGACTATACTGATGGCCAGAGCTGATCAATTTTGGTTCCAGCCGGTAAGGATTTAGGGATTTTAATATCAAATTACAAAAGTTCAGCAAGCAACAAGTATAGAGCCTGGGCTCTTATAATACTAGTAGCACCAGCAGGTTGGGAGTCAAAAGCAAAAAGGCAAACCAGAAAGTGCAGTAGTCAGTTACCAGGGCAAGTTCAGTTATGTAAATTTAGAAGCATCAAGGGTAAAACGTCAAAGATATGTATACTTCCCAAATACTTATACCTTCCAAACACAAAACCCCCACTTTCCCTATTCCAAAATGAGATACTTCTAAAATGGTAAATAATGTCATTTGATAGTTGTTTATATTTTTCATTTTTCATTTCAGAGGAAAAAAGGTCATAAAGTTGAAATTTTCTTTATAGATATTAAAGTAATTGAAGCAAAATTGTTGCTGTATCTGACTCGGGGCAAATTGGTAGAAAATAGGAATAAATAGAGTAAATTATTGTCATTTATAGAATGAAAAACTCGCATTTAAGTCATGTGACAAAATAAATAGATTGACTATAATTATATCAGAATATCTCCGTGGTAATTTACATTTCTCCCCGCCCATACCCAAGTAACAGCTGTCTGATAATACTTTGTGTGGAAGTTACGAAGTTAGTCGCACTTTTCATTATTGAATTATAATTAAACGTAATACGCAACTTTAGCATGATGGATATCGTTTTAATGCAAAGATTTATTTGTTAATTTTTGGAAGTCGTATGCAAGGCTTTACTGATAATATTACGAAAATTAGGTCGAACAAAGTTAAAACTTGAATATTTTCAGCTGAGTTGAATAATGATGGTTTTAATTCAATCTGAAAATTTATGACCTAGAAAATGATATTATATTGTAATGAAAATGTAGACAGTAAAATGTAGACAGTTAACTTTCATTTGATGAGGAGACATAATATGAATTTTGGTATTCCGTCATAAGGAACAAAGTGATATTGTGTTATACAAATGGGCTTTATGCCGTTTCTATCGGAAATACATATAATACAGTGAAACTTACGATAGTTAATGAAAACTTGTAACTATTGTAGGGGGAGAAACGCTACCTGTATTAATTATATAATGATAAATGCATGGTATATAGAGTTTTATCAGCGTAAATTATTTTGTATGTAGTATATCTATCTTGTATATATATCATGGATGAAGATAGTGTGAATGTATCAAGTACGTGGAATGTGACAACAGTTTGTCAGATAGTCTGTGATAGATAGGTAACAGATTCTGGTGAGGGATAATGCTGCGACTGTAGATAAATATTCAGGAAATGTTTTTAAAAACTGAGATATGGCTTAAAATCTGGAGAAAGTTAACCAAACATTTCCGCTCTCCTGTGTAACTTGTAGCAAGAGTTAGAAAAATTTGGGATTTATTAAATGATATAGGTGAATAGGAAGTGATAGTGTTTATCATTTAGAACACAGAAGGATCTAAGTGATTTTACAAAATGAAGTTTCTTGGAATATAAAATGTTTCTAGTGTGATTTTTTAATGAAATTTAATGAACAATCTTGTCAATTTAATGGTAAAAA